CCTGGGCAGGATGAGGCCACGTGCTCTGGCCGTTTTATTAACCCAACCTGCTTCCAGGCCAGGTGCTGCTTCGTTCAGGTCGGTGGGCCTATTTATTGACTTAAAACTGGCAGGGGCTGGGCCCAGGGCGCAAGGTGAGGCTGCAGAGGGACAGAGCTCCTCGGGGCTAATAAAGCCCTTCTTTTTGCGAGGCGGTGCTCTGGGTCCCTGGCGTACTGGGTCCGTAGTCTCACTGCCTGCCTGGCGGTAAGTGAGGGCTACGCGCCCGAAGCGGGCTGTGCAAACCTCCGTGCAAACCCCCATATGAAACACATGGATTTTCCGAAATGCCGGAAAGGAAGGAGCATCCCTTGCTCTCAGCTCGTGGAAGCGCTCGTGGAAGTCCGGCTATCTCGGGAGAGACGGCCCATTGCAGCGAGGTGTCCTCCAAGTCTTGTACAATTCGCTCCTCCTGCAGAGCCTTTTCCATGCCTCCTGCTCCTACTGCAACAGTCTTGAAAGGAGAAGCTTTACTGTTATCCCTGGCAATGTTTTAAAGAGCATTAAATTCATACCATCCAAATATCTTTCTAACTGTGATCCCCATCCTTCTCTGCTTTTCAGCTGTCTGGAAAACCTGCGAGATAGTAAGGGAGCCTCTGCCATGGCTGAGAAGCAGCGCAAAATCCTAACTGAGCTGAAACAGGAGCAGGTAATATTGCAGCAACAGGAGCTGGCTTTCATCTCATGAACAGTGGGAGGATGCAACACTAGGAGGTGGCTGGAATTGCTGCAGCATGCGTAAAAAGCAGTCAGTCGTTTTGTTTCACATGCATTATTCTGTTCTGTGTTTCCCGCATTCAGTGAGGTAATTTTTGTGCCGAAGCCTGCAATCTGTAAATTTGAGAGGGAGGAGAAAACATTTTTCTCTGCTGCTCCAATGTTATTGTTGATTTTTCTATTGGTGTCATAAAGAACAGGCCATGTGATTTAGACTTACATTGATTTATGCAGATTTATGCTTCTGATGTTGAAATATTTAAAATTGATCTAACAGCTAATTTTATAGTCTCAGTTTGCCGGATACTTGAGAATGATCGGCTCATAATTAGACTTGGTAATAAGAAGATTTGAGTTCTGTTCCTTATGTAGTTCAAGCCTCTGTTTTACTTTGTGAAATTCCTATGCAAAGAAGGTACCACAAGCATTGTATAGTTTTGAATGCCCCGACGATACTTTGATTCCAAAGGTCTCACCTCTGAGAGCTACTCCTATCTCTCAGGCAGTGAAATAGTCCCTTACCTGTCATCACTTTTCGCGGGTACTCTCCAGTCAGCATTGGTGAAAAGAAAAACTGCAAAAATCTTTTACAAAAAAGGAATAAAAACAACTGCATATTGAGTTCTCCAGATGCTTTAATAATAGTATTGTCTTATGTTAATAAATACTATACACATTTTTATGTAGGGCTCTTTTCCCTGTTTTTATTTTTTTAACTCTCTCTTACGTTTCTCTCCTCTTCTGCTTTGTGTAGGCAGAAATCCAGCACCTGCAAAATATCTGCAAGGCAGCCCATCAAGAAAGGAAGCTTTTATTAAAGCAGCAAAGAGAAATCTTAATGATGCGGCGTTCAACAGCACAACTTCAGGAAGAGCTGAATAACTTGACTGGGAAGCAAGAGGTTATTAAGTCATTTCATGAATAATGTCTTTTAGTTTTACAATTGCATGTAACTTTAGGTTTAGACTTTAATGTGTCATAGTTTGAGGAATAGCTTGTTCTCCTGTTAGTTGTAATAAAGAAAAACATCGGATTGTTAAATTTAAGATAATGATTCTCACGTAACAGATTAAAAAATAGTGTTAGAGAAACTGTCAGCTGTGCAGTATGGCCACATTCTACCCTAGAATAATTTTATTCAAACCTATACATGTACATAAACCTGCTAGGTGAAATTCAACCCAGTCCAGATTCGAAGGAAGATTTGATGTCTTGAAAGATATATATGCAAATGGTTTTTTGGATACGTGAACATTCCTTCAAAGGCAGTCCTTCAAATTGACTTTTTCAGATACCAAAAGATAGCTTGATTTGCAAATGTTTGAATGATCACTGCTTATAAAGAGGATAAAACACGCTTGCCTAAGTGTCCCACATTATGTACACTCACGTTAATGCATTGAAAGTTACCTCAAGTAAGCTAGTAAATACAGTTCTGCAAGTTTGGGTTAAATGTTGCCTCAACATTGTGGAAATAATTTATCTGATGGTGAAATGGTAAGATATAGTGAAAATGTTCTTCAGGCCACACCAGTCATGCTGAAAAACAGGATAAGAAAAGGGGCAGTATATGAGCCATGCAGCGTGAGGGTATAAGTGATGACCAGAATGACTTATTGCTTGGCTCTACAGTGGGAGATTTTTAAAGCATGCATTCTCAGGAAACGTTATTTCTGTTAAAGTCAATCAAAGTTCTTTGGTTATTTTTGCAGTCCTAATGAGACTGTTACTAGAAGTCTCAGTGGTTTTTTGAAGTGGGTAATAACTGAAATCAGAGCTGGCAGTGCAACTGAAGGAACCCAGATAAAACGTTATGCGCTACCCTTTTCTTTTTAGTTTACTAGGAGGCCAGCAACTGAAGAAGCAATAAAGCAGAAGACAATGAGACTGATTTCCAGCCCAATGTTATGTTCCATCTCAGCAAAATCTACAGCACAGTTAGAAAGGCCTGGTCTGTCAGGGAACAGAGAGAGTTGTGTCCAGCTAAAGAATAAACAAAGCAAGACATTTGAGGGGTAAGTAAAACCCTTTCTATAGTGATAGCTGAAGATAAAATGCAATCCAGTGGAGAAGATACAAGCAGTTATACCCTAGATAATTGTGTGAGCTTTAAATGTTCTCAAGAGGGAGTTTTACACTGGTAAGTTTTTACAACTTCTGTGGTCAAGCAGTTGGTGCATCAAGCTCACTCCTTATCATGGTGACCAATATTGCCTCCATCTGTCCAACCTATTGTCTCATGTCTAAAACTGTAAGCACCTCAGGGCAGGGACCAGCTTGTTGCAAGGTATGTGAATAGCATCAAGTAAATTAAGGTCTGAATCCATAGCTGGAGATCCTTTACATAACCACTCAGCTCTTCAGATTGAACATATTCATCATTTCAATATATCTATAAGAAGCAATATATGTATTTCAGATTTTTCCATTCTTTAAAAAGATGAGGTCCTTTTCGGTGGGAAAAAAAAATGTTTTAATTGAAATCCTGAATTTTGCCAGAAAGCTGTTTGGGACAGCATGTAGACTAGCTCTACTGTTTATCAGGGACTCCATCTGCCATCTGATGTCTGAAAAAATACTCTTCGAGGTTACAGGAGAAGGTGCATTGTGATCAAAGTGTTTTTTATATCACAAATACCAACTCCTTCAATAGAACAAGCTGAATCTGAGCTTTAATCATGAAATCCATGGAGTAAATATGCATACATATATATATATGCATATATAAATATAAAAAAAGGAGTTCTGTGATTTGCATTTTTCATTACAAGTCAGGCAAGTCTGTTTCATACACAGAAAAGCCATGCTAATTTGCCGTCATAAGCTTATTGGACGTGGGAAGGAAAACAAAGGTCTGCATTGGGTAATAAACTATTTAATCCTGGGTGCAAAGGGTAGAGCAATATTTGTTCCCCAGGCAGCTGTGCTTTTGTTAGAATGGTTCTGTATTCTTGCATTTAGCATCACAATCCTCTGTGCTTTAAGAAAGCCAGTGTTTGCAGGCTTTATACATTTGTTTTAAAATCTGCATTTTTGTGCAAGCAAGTATGGCATATTTCATTCTGGATTATCCTGACTGTAAAATGTTAAGCAGTGTATATATAAGTCTGTGGGACTGGGCCCTAACATTGCCATGTTAGGAACAAACATAGCTTTAATTGATGTTGCCGGACATAGGTATGTTAATTTACATAGCATTAATAACCTGGATATTTCTTAATGATGCCATACAACTGCTAATGAAAACTCACATTTTCATGATGGCTTTTAACCACAAACTCAAAACACTTTGCAACTATCTATTAATTAAGCTTCAAAATACCCATATGAAATAAGTAGAGATGTATTGATTTAATTGGTGAAATTCACTCATTTGTCATCTGCTGGCTCTAAGCCTACGTATCACTTAACCCCACAGAACAGGTTGTTTGCTTAATCTTATGCTTAAACTATTTTGCGCTTAAGCACAGAGGTCATGTAAAATGCCCGAAGTCAGAGGCAGTTCAGGAGTTCAGACTCAATCTGTTCTGAGAAAGCAGCAGTCTCCTGTTCTGGTCTGCCTAGACGCTGTATCCCCAACATCCCCCACTCACTTCACACTGAGTGGGAGGTGCTGAGCAATGCAGATGAGAACCCAACAGCATACACGCTGCTCACAACACCAGTCCTCCAAAACAGACTCACATGAACAGATATCTACTTTGCTTTAGAAAAAAATAAGCACAATTAAACACAAATATATATCTGTATGAATAAAAGACCCTTCATTCAGTGTTACCCAGACCTTCTTTGGCAGACTGGTGAGTCAGGGTTGCACATTTACTTAAGTCCCCTCAGGGAAAGGCTTTCAAATAAATCTCTGCATGAAACTGATCTATAATTCATGGTGTTATCGATTACAAGTCACAGGAATCTTTAAAAGGTTTCTTGGCTCTGCTTTCACTTCTTACTACTGACGAGTCTGCTCATAGGAGAATATTCACATTAGCCTAAGCCTGTAGCAGACAGGGCCTAGTGGAACTCACGGTGCACCCAAACTCTGGCTGCTGCTTTATTGTGTATAGATCTGTTTCCTATATAAGAGTGCAGAGTGCTAATTATGCTATCTCTCCACCAGCGCAGGTATGTTAGTATTTTATACTGATCAGGAAAATAGCTAATAAGCAGGGCTGTAAGGGGATGGAAAGGGTTGGGAAATACTTTGGAAAATTAAAGCAAAGTGAAATAATAATCAAATTGCCAACATGCAGAAAAGGCTGCTGGTTTTGGATTTTATTAATGGATCAGACTGGTATTTAAGTGCTGCATTTTACAGCCTGTAAAGAGGACTCTGCATTATCTGACTGCATAAGCTATCTGCTTCCAGAATTGTGGGAATTCCAGTATTTACTTTTCTGCAAAATGAAATATTTATTCATTTATGAAAAAGAAGACATTCCTTAAAACTATACATAAATGATTATCCGAAAGGAAAATAGCTGTACCTGAGCAAAAGCTTAATGGCAGATGAAATCCAGTGTCAGTTTTGCAGGTTTCCCCTGTGAAAGCTGAAGCTGGTCCAAAACCCAGTGCAGTAACTGAGTGACTCCTGTTGACAGAAGCAGCATTGCTTATGAAGACAAGGAATGAATATTGCCATAGATTTCAGCAAATTTAAACCAGTTCCTAATGACTATGGCTTTTTATTTTCCATTCTGAAGAAGCCAATTTTTAAGCTGTTTCTGTATGCTGATGTAAACACATCACAGGATTAAAAATATTAAATACCAGGAACAAGGAATACAGAAACTTGTAATTATAAATTTTTATAAATGAACAAGTTTTTAGCCAAGTGTCAGAATACATTTTCTGAATTGGGATTCTTATTTTAACTTCCTTAAAGTTTAGTGATGTTGAATACAATATATGCTTGCTTTTTTCACATTAAAAAGAAATGAATAGCAATTTTGATCCTAGAAACTATGATATTGTTATTTTTAATCTATTGAATTATATATTTAATTTTTTTAAATTGTTATTGTATTTAAAAAAGCAATATGGATCATTGTTTTTTCTGGATAGAATTACTTACTCAACTGCATATCATAGTACCTGTACCACTAGTGGAAAAGTCCATGCGTACAAACTGTGATGCCTTGTGCTTTTGCTGTAAGGAGATGACAATTTCATCTTCTGTGTTTAGAGAGTTCAAAGTCACTGTCACAACCAATATTTGATGTCCCAGATGTCCACAAATTTGTGATGTTGTGTTTAAAATGGAAAACTTAATGTGATCTATTGGAATCTGATATAGTATCATTGATCGCAGCAGGAGGAAGGTTCAGAATATGACCCTGTTTTTACTTTTTTGAGTGCTGATGATTTTTTTAGTATCCTCCTGTCCTGTATAAAAAGATATGAAACCTAACTGTATAAAATACAGCATTAAGTGAAAGAGGAGAATGGGGAAATAAATACGCTGTTCAGAGAGTGTTTCCGACTTTGCTTAATTGCTGTTTTACAAACATAGGTGCATGTGAGCACTCTACAGGTACTACTAAGGACTACCAGAAGCATTTAATTCCTATCTTTATTGACTTCATAGAGATTTGTCATGATTAATTGGTGAACAAGAAAACAACTCCAAGTAATTAATTTCTTGTCTAATTGTTTACAGCCTTTCTACTGAAAACAAGAAACCATTGGTACAATACCAAAAACGGGCAGAGGAGTCCCCAGGTTCGGAGCAGTCCCTTGGTGTGCAAGCTCCTGGTGTGTCTGAAACAGTGGACAAAAACCTGTGTGATGCCACTGGTCAAAACACAGGCTTGCTCTTTATGGTTAGAGATCACAATAGCACAGGTATGAATGACTTAGGGCAAAAATTGAAAACTAAGCTGTGATTTAGAGTAGTTTAAATGATCTTTCAGAAGACGACTGTTGGGTTGTTTAGCCTCTGATAGACAACTGCTGGTGCTGGTCTGCTCCTCGGTTGCCTCCAGCCTGGGTTTTGGCACCAGAATCTATTCAGGACTAGCAAGAAGAAGGTGTAAACTAGATGTTAGTAGTTTTGTTAAGGTAGCATCTATCCATAGATGAAGAGAGAGAGTGCAGTAATATTTGGAAGCGAGCATTACAGTTGCTAAAATGTAATTGGATGATAAGTTAGTTAAAGATTGGATAAATAAGGTCATTGGTCCTTTCAGCTTCTTTTGGGGTAACAAGGAACGTGCAGGACAAAATTAAAAGTTACTCAAACTATAAATATTTTTAACTGAGCATTATGACTGAACTAAACAAAAGGCTGTAGTCAACTTACTCATAAATAAAAATGCAGTATTGTAAACATTGTAACTTGATGTTGTACCTTTCAGAGCTTAGTGCCCAGGATCATGTTTTCTTAAATCTGGAACATGCAAATTCAGCTAGAATAGATGAAGCTATATCCACACCCATTCCAAGAGAAGGCAAAAAGTATGCATTACCGGTAAGAAAATCATCTCTGGAATTCCATTTCTGCCTGAAGAAATGTGCCCCAGGTTATATTCATATTAAGACAAGACCAGAACAAGGCTCTTTTAACAGTTATGAACATCAACTAGAAATTAATTAATCAGTGTGTTGATTTCCTGCACTAGCACAAAGCTGAGGACAGAATTTTGACATGGGCTGGTTTACCACAACGTTCCCGCCTCTTACATTTTCTCTATGTTGTTAATTGGTGACAATGTATTTAAACCATCTCCTTTGGACAAGGGTGGTGCTGCACCAAGAGAAGCTAAACCTCCTGTCCTAGGAGCAGTAAACTGTACTTGTCCATAGTGGTTGCAGAGACTGGTCTCCTTCCTATTTCCGACATCAGAGATACAGCACAAAAGAGGGCGTATATATGCAGGAGTCCACATACATGTATAAATCTCAGTGTGATCCTGTAGAGTTAATCTCTGTTGATCTCTTAACTATTTTTTGTGCCATTCTACCAACAGCAAAGACCTTTTCCCTTAAGACACTAACTCTGTCTCTTGAATACTTACATTCTAGGAATCTGTGCTGGAGGAAAAGGCATTTGTTTCAAGCCCAAAGGTAGATCCTAAAAACAATAAAGATATTAATCCATGTGACAGCAAGTTTACAGTGAAAGGCTTGGGGATGCTTTCTACATGGTGTAACTTATGCCTGGTTCAGGCAGAAAATACTCTTCAAGAAACTGGTAAATCATATTTAATGCTATTATGTCCAATCTGTTTCAACCACTTCAATCAAACTTTAATCCAGACAGAAAGAGAGAAAATCTTCTCATTTATTACCTCAATGTCTTGCTCTCTATATCCAATGTATAAATCACTGCTAGGCAAGATGGTGGAGATCTCTCAAAGGTTTGTTATGAGATATGATTATGCTGCTTCCTCAGAACAAAATCATAACTTATTCTGATTGTGTCATTAACAATTTACTTTCTTTTGAGGTATTTTAAAAATAATTTAAGGGTGTTCATTTTAAAAGTCCATAGATCAACTGAAGATAGATTTCGACAGGACATGCTGCAGTTATTTTTGTTTCCAGGTTTTATCCTCAGTTCATATTTCTTGCACTCAGTACAACTTACAAAAAATAAAACTGCTTGTTTATATATGAGCCAGTTATGTCATTTATATAGCTCTGTGTATGCATAATCTGTGTATTATAAATATTTATATATGGTGGCAGCAGTTCATATTTGTGCCATTTTTCTAGTGCACTACCTCTCTGCATTTACTCCTTGATACCATAGTGAGGGAGGCTATGGATTTTTATTTTGTAATTAAGACTTAATAACAACAGTTTTAATGATAGAGGCATGGTAGAGGCTGCATATGAACAGGATTCTCAAGCCTTACTTTGACCACGTGGACAACAAGTTGTCTGAAATAAATCCTGCTCCTCAGGTACAGAGAAATTTTTCCATTGACTTTGGTGGAGCAGGATTTCACCATTAGTGTTTTGGCTTCGTTTTTATATTTGGCAGAAGTCTTGTGCTGTTTCATAAACTAGAGTATCAGTGCATAGGCAATGCCATAAATTCTAGTAGCAAGCCTTAGATTCTTCTGGTAATGGCTACTTTGTGTGACTTAGAGAAAGGAGAAGCTTGGATTTGCCTTCTGTGCTGAATAATCTTTGTATTTCAGGTGAAAGCACATCACCTGTAGTGGAAGAGCTAGAGGATGATTCTCTAACAGTGGAGAAAGTGCGCAGGAAGCAGAGAAGTCATGAAACTCGAGAAGAGCAGGACTCTGGCAGTCCATTTCAGGCATGTGGAAAGCTTGTAATTTTATATGAACTGTTTGTTTTTTCATGTAAATATTCAACAAAAGAAATCATCAGTATCAGCAGGCATGGGGATATTATGCTTGGAACTCAGCTTGTAGGTAGGGAAGCCAAAGTGATCTTGAGGTTTTATTCTACTATGTTAAAGTATTGCCCTTAAGTATCGGAAAAGTGTAGCAGCCATTCATTGGTATTCTTTCAATTTCTTGCATATTCAGTGACTCTTGATCACGCTCCCTGCAGGCTGGAAGAAGTAAGAAACATCTTTCTTCTGATGGTGACGAAGACGGTGAAAGAGGATCACAGCTAATTTCAGATGGAGGCGCAGTAGTGAAAACCCAGTTAAGAAAAGAAAGGTCATCAGAAGAGCAGAGGTACTATATCTGTCAAGGCCAGGGCCTTCTGGCCTACCTTCTACTTCTCTTATTAAAGTATCAGACCTTGCCTGCTTCATTTTCAGAAGCAGCGCAGGGCTCGGGTCCAATGCCTATGGCTGGTTCGGTTGTGGAAAGGTGAGGTAGGCCATAAGGACCTGAGCTTGGGTTTTTGTTTGTCTTTTATAGTTTTAAAAAGTGCAGGCTCCTTTTAAGAGTTTGACAAAATATTTTTCACACTCACCAAACATTACTGGCTGCTAGGTTATCTTGGAAGATCTGATTCCTTAGAGTCAGCTGAAGGTCTGTTGAAGCCAGTTTGAAAACAGTTTTTTGTCTTCGAAGGTTTTGGGCTAGACAGAAAGCCTCTGAAGTCACAGTTAAGAAATAAGGGATAGTATGTTGTATAATGCTGTCTGTATGTAGCAAATAAATACATCAACAGAAATTTAATGTTCTAGTCCAGCATTCTGCCTACTACAGACTGTAATGCCAGTGAGTACCATTCACTTCATAATTTCAGCTTTAATCCAATTGTAATGTTGTATTTTCAGGATTAGCACCGACTCTGAGAGAAAATCAGAAATCACACATATAGATGAAAAATCACCTTCTGCAATCTCATTGTCACAAGGTAAGAAATGCCTTTTCCCAATAGGGCTTCTATGGTCATGTAATATACAGTTTGAGTAATAGCTCTTCCTCAAAGTTTGTCCAGGCAGGACAATAGCCTACTTCTTGTACCAGGTGATGAAGTTCTTCAGTGGGCTCAAATAACAGATATGTACAGACTCTGGATTCCAACCCTTCTGATCAACTACATTAGGCACTGTTGTAGTTGCTGGCTTGCTACGTTACTGAGTTCTTCATCGTTATTTGATAAATTTTAATTTTTGTACAATATGATACTAAAGATCGTCCTCATCTGAATTGTGCAATTAATGCTACTGACCTTTGAATGCAATCCGCAGTTGAAGATTGCTGGATCTGAATCCTAAGTTACGTGTCAGCAACCTTTTCAGTAAAATAAAAAGATTTTTCTGCAATGCTGATTTTTTTCTAGATGTTCCAGTTAAAGAAGTGGAAGTGCCTGTCCCTTGTGAGATCAGTCGGGTGAATGGCAGTCAGTGGTTGAAACATTTGGACCCCATTTCTGATGAAACTTCTGATGCAGAACTTGATTTAAAAGCATTTTCCAAGGGATTCGCTCCCACAGAGTCATCCTCCAAATCATACAATTTCTCTCTGACAGGTGGGAGTGCCAAATCAGACTCTTCACTTCCAGAATTTCAGAAAGTATCTGCAATTTGGATTGACATCTCAGAGAGCTCCACTTCAGATTCTGAATTAGAGGTGAAGAATGGAGAGGACACAGATGTCAGTATCCTAGAAGAGTTTGCCTATAATAACGGTGATGTGTTTCCTAACATTTCAACAGAGACACTACTAGCAATAAATAATAGAAAGGAAACATTATGTGGTGACAAACATGATGAACAAGTGCCCAAAGATGGCTGCAGTCCTGAGATTTCATCACTGTGTCAGAGCTCTCAGAAATATCCTGGAAATGTTCCAGATCATGGGTGCAGTGATCATTTCCTTTATTTCATTCCGTCAGACAAAGGAAACACCTCCAAAACAAATCCACCGCATTCCTTTCGGTCTGATAACCCTGCCAAACGAATGGATGAACCACACTTGGAAGCCTCAGAAAACTATGGTACAAATGACACCTCTTCTCAAGAGATCTCTGAGCAGGATAAAGAAGCAGGTTCCAGCTCTTGGTACAGTGATGAGATTTACTCAACTAAGAAGATCTGTGCACAGCAGGACTCCAGTTCTACAGCTAGCAGAGTGAAAAAGGATGGTGAAATTAGCAGTATATCTGTGGATCAAAATACAGAGTTAACGGGGTTTCTGCTGACAGATCCTTGGAAACGTCTAGATTTGGTTATTGACCAATTTAGTAACACTGTCTCTTTTCCACCTGAGAAAAGTATTACAAATGATAAATTAGTAGCATGTCTATCCCCTAGAGATTTATCAGTTTCAGAAGGTGAAAATAATCAGACACAACTTTTGAATGAGCAACTTGCATCCAGCAAGCTCAGTAAAATTGTATCTCTGCCTACATCCATGCCAGGAATTTCTGAGGAAGCCCATACAGAAACTGAAATCTGTTCATACGAACCTTTGCAAAAGCTGGCTACAGGAAATCAAAATAATTCAACAACTGAAAGGCGAGCCATTAAGGAAATGGAGAGGGGACTGCTTTCTTCTGACTCCTCAAAAGAGCAATTGTTTCAAGCGGAGAACTACTCCTCCAAGGGTGAAGATGATGCAATTTTTATTAGCGATGAGGGTCTCCTTCCAACTGATGAGGATACCTTGTCAGAAATACTGTCTCCTGTTGATGAAGTGCTGTCCTATGGAAGTGCTGACTTGCCATCCTCTGGTAAAAAGGATTTGTCATTTCCAAGTGAAGATTCTCCTCCTCCCCCTTTGGGTGCAGATGCAATGAAAAATGATGATTCTAGCTTCAGTACGGATGATTTCCCATCTCCACCAGAACAAATGATATTCTCAGAGACTAGACAGTGTATGGATGAAGCTATATCACTGAAAATGGATGCATTACCCCCATTACCTGATAACATTGTGCCTGAAGAATTTCCTCTGCTCAATCCAGAGCCAACTGTTGCTTTTTCAACTCAGGATGGTAATCTTTCAGAACAATCTTTATTTAAAGAACATATTTCCAGTGCAAAGAAGAACTTATCGGAAG